GGGGACGGACCTCCAGGTGGGCGGGGCTGCAGTGTTGCCATAGAGACGGAGACGCGTCCTCAAGAAGAAGCCGATGAGGGGAGAGATCGGCGGAACCGGCAACATGTCCGGTCTGACTCGGAGCAGGGTCCACCCGCGGAAGGCCAGCGTGTAAGTGCCACCCAGATGTCCCTTATTTATATTCCTGTTCCCTAAAGTGCCCCTTACTTTCCATACTGTAGGGGGCATCCATTATGCGCCCCCTGTATCCCGAGCTTCTAACACAGCACTGCTCTATCTATAGAATGTCCAGGTGCCTAAATTATCTTTTATTCACTTGCAGTTTGCCTCTGAACGTGCTAGACATTTTGACTCGAGCCAATTCCCTAACACAGGCCCCTCCTCCTCTGGGAGTGGCTAGCAACTGTCTTTGCTGGCCCAGCTCCTCCTCCCCTACATAACCTTTTATATGACTGCACAGGGAGGAGCAAAGGTGAATGCTATAGGGCAGAGGTGAGCAAACTCCAGCTGTTGTGGAACTACAAATCCCATGAGCCATTGCAAGACTCTTGAGAGCCACAGGCATGACTCCCAGAGGCTGCTAACATCACATCCAAGATGGCGGCGCCCAGCGTCATTCTCAGTGGTTTTGGTGGTTTTGGTTGTCTACACAAGGACGGCTGTTACAGATTAATAAGAAGAATACAATGCACCTATCATCACACGGGAAGATTTTTGTTGAAATGAACGGTCGTGTGGCGGGGGGGCTGTGAAAGCATTAGACAATTACGGGAGTGTTGAATGCCTGCACCCCTGCATACTGTGGTTCCATCCTCCGACCACCTACATCACTGCTGAGTCCTATAGTGATGGAAGTGGAAGGAACCACAGCATCCAGTACGTGGGAGGGGGGGGTATCTGACAGTCCACAGAAGTGTTTGAAGAGTTTGATGGTGATTGGAACAGAGACCAGTGAGTATTAGAGGTGCACCGAAATTTTAAAAAATTGTCCGAAACCGAAAATGTTTTTTATTTTAGTTTTTTCAAATTTTAATTAAAATATTTTATTTTTATTTATTTTGTATAAACTTTTTAATTGTTTTATATTTATTTTTATTCATTTGTTATTAAATATTTTTATTTTTTACTTTACTTTTAGGGGCTTTGGGGAAATATTAGGGATCTAAACAGACCCCTGATATTTCCCTTTTAAAATAGAAAAAGAAATTGAGGACACAGAGTCCTCAGAGACACAGAGTCCTCAGAGACACAGAGTCCTCAATCTCTTTTTCTGTAGCCCCAGTTATCAATGAACAGGAATCCTCTATACTGAGTGTTCCTGATCATTCATAACATGAGGACAGAGTATGGTTACTATAACTACAATCATGAATGGACAGGAGGGTATGTAGATCACTTCCCATTCATTCATAATTGAGGATATAGTAACCATACTCTGTCCTCAATTATCTACAAACACTCAGCGATCACTGATCACCGACTGCTTGTACCCGCTCTCCATCCTGACAGCTGTCACAGGAGGCTGAGTGAGAGGTGCGGTGAGGAGAGCCAAGCCTCCTGTGACAGCGCTGGCTGTCTCCGCCCACAAACCGCTATGCCGGTGTTCTATCACACATTGTGACTGCGTTAGAATGTGTGACCGGTCACGTGGTCACACATTCTAACGTAGTCACGCCCTGCTCTGTGCTCCAGCGGGGAGGAGAGAAACTGTCACAGCCGGCCGAGCGCTGTGAGCGGCCAGCATCTCTCCTCCCCGCACCGCTCAGCCTCCTGTCACAGTCCGGTGTTCTATCACAGATTGTGACTGCGTTACAATGTGTGACATTTAATGTAATCACGCTCATTTTTTCGGCGTTGAAATGTGTGACCAGTCACGTAGTCACGCCCATTATTTCATTCAAAAATGTGTGACCGGCAAAAGGTGTCGAATTCCAGCGCTTTCTCCGCTGTTCCCGGGCAGATCGGCATCACAGATGGTATGTGCAGGAGAACCGATCTGCCCGGGAACAGCTGATCAGTCCTGAAATCTCACTTCTATTCGACTTTGCGAGTACAATACAAAGTCTGATAGAAGTGACATTTCAGGACGATCAGCTGTTCCCGGGCAGATCGGTTCTTGCACATACCATCTGCGATGCCGATCTGCCCTGGAACAGCGGATAAAGCGTTGGAATTCGACACCTTTTGCCGGTCACACATTTTTACCCCAGAAAAAAATGGGCGTGACTACGTTAGAATGTGTGACCACGTGACTGGTCACACATTCTATAATACAAAATCACCTGCACTCCATACAGCGTACAGACCTTGAGAAAGAGGTTGGTGCTTGAAGTGACAACACGGATGGGGCCATGTCAGATACCGTCCGTAATAGAAGTCACCGGCACTCGATGATATGTGCACTTTTTATTCATTCATCACATGCGTCAAACAGCCAACGTTCAGGGCCACGCAGGGCCCCTTCTTCTGGGCGACATAGTGACATAGGTCACTATATGTCACCCTTTAGCTCATTCACAAGGGGGGCAGCATCTGGGTGCTCCCTTACTTAAAGGGGTACCCCGATGCAAATAAGCCCCCTTGCCCACAGACCCCCACAACCACCAGGTCAGGGTTGTGGGGAAGAGGCCCTTGTACCCATCGGCATGGGGACACCCTCAAATGCCGAGGGCACGTGGCCTGGTAAGACGCAGGGACGGGGCGCTCGATCAACACCACCCCCCCGCCCTGTCCTGCTCTGCCGGGCCAGTTCTCGGATCAAGGGTCTGGTTTGAATGTTAGGGGGCCCCATGTTTCCCCCCATTTTTTAGGCTGGGGTTCCCCCTTAAAATTCCTACCCGACCTAAAGGGCCTGGTACGGATTTTGGGGGGAACCCCACGCACTTTTTTGTTTAAACTTGGGGGTGGGGGGTTCCTCCTAACATTTCTAGAAGACCTAAAGGGTCTGGTATGAATTGGGGGGGAACCCCATGCTTTTTTTTTTTTCCTCTTCTGCAGACTAAAAAAAAAAAAATTTCTAATGTCATTTTGCTGCAACGAAATTTCGTCCAGACTATCGCTTACGAATTTCGGAATCGGAAATTCGGATTCGCTTGCATTCGTTATTTCTTTAATTCGGAACGAAACGAATCGCACATCTCTATTTGGTGCACACAAAAGTGGATTTATATCCTTTGCGGCGATTGAGGAATTTATTTAAAGCGGAACTCTCCCCATATCTTCAAAATAACAGCAAAGACACCCTTAGAAATGTTTAGTGATGACAATCTACAGACAGATACTTCTAGATAATTGGTGGTTTTCTGTCGAGGTGACCAACTCGTCGAGATCTCCAACTCGTGACGTCACGTCCGTTGTTGATTTCGACGAGATGGCGCTGGTGCCATTGCGCCAGCCGTCACAGTTTTTGCAATCCTCGTTGACTTCTGCGCTGGCCACAGGTGCGCCCCCCGTGCGGCTTCGAAGTTGTCATCAAGTTCTCCAACTCCCGTCGGTGCTTGTGGCATCGGGAGCCCGCGCAGGCGCACTGCTGCAGATTGTACAGCTTGATACTTCTCTTTGGTAGCTGTGCCGGCACACTGGCAGGAGTTGGAGGTGTCGATGAGTTGGAGAATTCGATAGAACACCGGCCTCGTATTCTTTGCATACTTTATCTTAATTCTCCTCCCCATTTTTCTCACAGTGGCCGTTTTCACTAAGGGCAGATTAATATATTTCCCTTTACTTCCTGGAACTCTGGCACATGGGACTAGAACATGTAAACAATACAAAACACAGAAGTTTCCCAGCACACTTACCGGCTGGCCTGCAACAAAACAATTTACACTGTCTTAACAGTATGCGTTAAAAACAGCGGTTTTAGTTACACATCTTGCGCAAAAAATGTGGATGCCGCACTGCCTCGTCAAGGCTCCTCTGTATGATGCGGTCGTAACTCTAATTTTTGAGAGCCTCCATCTTGGAGCATATTTTAGCAGTAGATAGACTGGATGCAGGTCTGCCTGGAGGGAGCCCACTCCTCCTTAAAGGCGCAGGGACACACTAGAGGCCCAGTACTTCAAAATGCATGCTGGGGCTTTTACTAAGGGCATATTAATGTCTTTCCCTTTTACTTCCTGGAACTCTGGCACATGTGACTAGGACATGTGATCATGCAGATCATCTCAGGGGAGGAAAATGCCTTTCCCTGAGATCTCCTGAGATTACCGAAGAGATTTCCCAGCAATGCTCTGCTGATGTAACCTTCCCAGCATGCAACGCTTGGACACATGACATCACTTGTGCCCAAGAGGACCAGGAAGTGGGAAAACAAGAATTGTAAGTGAAAGAAAAATATGTTTAGCTAATGAATGTGAGATGATTTCATATCAGTATGCAGAGCTGAACGCTGAGGTGATTTGTAGTCGAAGGGGGTAAAGGTCCACTTTAAATGGAAAGTTTCTGTGCCTGGGGTTCAGCGTTAGTTGAAGGTACGCAGGGGATCCAACTGATGAATGAACCCAAATCCTTTCTTTTTTGTGAATTTATAATCACAGTTGTAGCGATTTTAGGTGGTTTTTATTTTTTCAGGCCCAAAATGGCTTCACACGTCAAGAAAATCATCAATATGTCGAGTTTTGTCACTCAGAGCCGGGCCAATCGCAGCATGATGGGAAGCAGGAAGAGTGTAAGTCTGCACGCGGACAGCAAATTCATGGATAAAAATTCTGTGTCCGGCGGGAAGCAAATTGTCCCGGTCAGTATACGGAAAGGAGAGGGGGGGAGAGAGAGGGGGGGTAGAGAGAGAGGGGAGGGAGAGAGAGAGGGGAGGGAGAGAGATAGAGGGGGGGAGAGAGAGAGAGGGGAGGGAGAGATAGAGGGGGCAGAGACTGAGGTGGGGAGAGGGAGAGAGAGGGAATTTTTTATACAACGTTTATAACCAATTGATTAATTGAAAATATAATCGGCCAACTAATCGTTAGCTGCAGCCTATAGATATGTTTTAATTCTATTATGTACATTATAATATGGCATGTAGTGAGGATTGAGGTATCCCCTATGTCCTGGGTAGGCAACCTTGGAATACAGCTGTGGTGAAACTATAAATCCCACCATGCCTGTGGCCAGTGGCTGTCATGGGACTTGTAGTTCCACAACAGCTGGAGTTCCGGGGGTTGCCTACCCCTGATCTATGTGATGCAGCTAAAGTAGTGTTGTCACCCTCCCAGAGGAGGTATTTATTTTCTGAAGCAACAAGCCGTGGAAAGGTCAGGGATGCAATCGTATTGGAAGTTGGACTATATGATTTTTACAATTTTGGATATAGTTTTACCTGGAAGTTGACCTCCGGCTCCCTCTCTCTCCCCCATGATCTGCCTGCATTGCACAGAGAAGCAATGCAGCTTTAAACATTCGTCCCCGCCAGTGGATCCGGTTTGTGTTACAGTCACTGACAGTTACAGAAGGGACGTCTGCCCATTGAGGACATAGACCCGAAATAAAGAACTGACAGAGGTTCTATCCGTTCCCCGCTATTTCCAAAATTAGAGACAAAGGGGGGAATTAATCCAAACTGGAGCAGACAGAATGTGGAGCAGTTGCCCATGGCAACCCATCAGCTTCTCTCTTTAGTTTGCTCCGGTAAGATTTGAAAATGAGAGATAGAAGGTGATTGGTTGCCGTGCAAATCTGCTCCAGTTTTGATAAACCCCGCCCCCCTGGTTTTGGCTGGATTGAGCATCCAGTAGAAACAATGGCGGGCAGATGAATCAGTAATTTTGGTTTTATTGGCTCCTCTCAGGTTTTCGATGAAGAAGGGAACGACGTCACTCCTCGGTCACTGTTCCAGGCAGAGCCTGGCGCCGCTGCCCCCAAACCAAGCAAATTCTTCACCACCCCGGATGCTTCTGGTATAATGGCATCGGATATCTTCTCCACCATGTCCCTCCAGCAGACCGGAACGAGCGCCAGTTTCGTCGGACCGTTTTCAAGGTGCTTTCAATGTTTTCTTGTTGTGTGACTTAAAGAAGAACTCCGGGCAAAATTATTCTTAAATATGATAATCAAACTGTCACAGGTCGGCTCAGTAGATCGGGAAGTGACCGAACACATACCGTCACTCGCTCACTTCTCGATCTATCCCTGCAGAGAGCCGTGACTGTCACTCACGGCTCCCTGCAGCAATTCCCCCCGCCTCCCCCTCCCCACTCCGATCCTCCAGCGCTGACTGGCGCAACGGACGGGCCAGGGGTCGGGCACAGCTGGCTCTGCCTCTAGATAGGCAGAGCCAGCTGTCAATCACGCAGCTGGGTGGATCCAGACAAGTTTGTCGGGTTCCGTTCCGGCTGCGGCGGCCTCAGTATACCGCGAGCTGTAGCTAGCAGTATACTGAGCTTTGGGTGACGGTAGGACGCTAGTTTGTGTTCTCCCGTGACCCTTAGGAGAACTTTGGGGAAAAGCTCTAACCTCATAGTTCTCCTTTAAAGGAGAACTATGAGGTGAGTGCTTTTCACTCACCTCATAGTTCTAGCCGACCTGTGACAATGAGACTGTCACAGGTCGGCTCAGTAGATAGGGAGGTGAGCGAACATATACCGGCGTTCGCTCACCTCTCGATTCTGTCACAGCGCTCTGCCGTGACAGGGGAGGGGCTGGATTCCCCCCTCCCCGCTCCGATCTGCCAGCGCTGACTGGCGGAACGGACGGGGCGGGTACGGCTGCCTCTGCCTCTAGATAGGCAGAGCCAGCTGTCACTCACGCAGCTGGGCGGATCTCGACATCGATGTCGGGATCCGCTCCGGCGTCTCAGTATACCGCGAGCTACAGCTCGCGGTATACTGAGCTTAGGGTAACGGGAGGACGCTAGTTTGTGTCCTCCCGTTACCCTAAGGAGAACTATGGGGAAAAGCCCTGACCCCATAGTTCTCCTTTTTAAGGCCTCATTCACACTAGAAACAGCCGGCACGTACAGCTCTGTGGTGCGTGCGCAGCTTTACGAAGCAGCTCCCGGGAAGGACAGGTGCTGCGTGCACGCAGCCCCCGTCCTTCTCTATGGGAGTACGCGGCCGTACGTTGCCCTACGCTCACCCCAAGAGCAGGTCTGTGCGGGTGTCCCGGCTCAGACGCAGACAGGATCCATCCTGTCAGCGTACGATTCCGCCCCCCCGCACGGACGTGCAGGGCGGGTGAGAGCAGGGCGCCGTACGGCACGTATTGGAGCAGGATAGGAAATTCTAACCGAAATTCGGTGTTGGAATATGTGACCGGCAAAAGGAGAAGAATTCCAGCTGTTCCAGGGCAGATCGGCATCGCAGATGGTATGTGCAGGAGAACCGATCTGTCCTGGAACAGCTGATTGGTCCCAAAATGTCACTTCTATCCGACTTTGTGGAATGTGAGATCACAGTCACAGAGTCACATTTCAGGACCGATCAGATGTTCCAGGACAGATCGGTTCTCTTGAACATACCATCTGCGATGCCGATCTACCCTGGAACAGCTGGAATTCTTCACCTTTTTCCGATCACATATTCAACCGCTTAAAAACTGGGCGGGATTAGGTTGAAATGTGTGACCACGTCACCGGTCACACATTCCACCGCCGAAAAACTGGGCGGGATTAGGTTGAAATGTGTGACCACGTCACCGGTCACACATTCCAACGCAGTCACAAACTTTGATGGAACACTGGCCGGCTCACTGCGTTCTGGGGCGGGAGGGAGTGTGGCGGTGCATTGAAGTGGGGGGCAAGGCCAGTAAATGTTAATTAACTGCAGCAGAGAAAAATCAGGTCTCCTGGCTTGCAAGACAGGGCTGTGCTGTGTGGTAGAGATGTGTAAATCGCAGAACTGGATGGGCAGACATTTAAGTCCTTTGACAGGCAAAATAGCTCTTTATATGAGTGGTCCATCTGTGTTTTTGGCTGTTTGCCTGGGGTTCAGCTTTAAATCATGATTATAGTGGGTTACACTGCAGATAATTAAAAAACATATTTGGTCACTTTTTAAACAGGTCGATTTTTGGGGGCAGCAGCATGTCTATGTCCAGTCAGGAGGCAGAATCGATATCGGAAGACGCAGAAGAACCAGGACGGGTCAGCTTGACTGGTAAAGCCATCTTTAATGGGATTCACGTACAGCTTATGGTGGTGTAGCCTGCTATAGGTCATTGTATCGCTCCCAGAATGGTGGCAATGCGCCAGGTGTGCGCTGTCACTGTGCAATATGAACCCAACGAACAGAGGTCTCCGAGGGAGGAACAGAGAGGGGATTGGGGAATCTCTGCCGTGACTGACATTCACCGTTGTCTGCAGGGGGTAGCCGTAAGCAAAGTGATCAGTGGTTTGTGATCGCCCAGTCCTCGAGCTATAGAGCCGGCATGTGACACCTGAAGTGTCACATGCCGCCTCAAACTATTGGGAAGAGTGCATTCCACTCTCCCAATACTTCTCCTTTAAGACCATTTACTTATCTCGTAATTAGTTTTATCACAGCAGTCTTGCTTACAAAGAACATTTGACTTCAAATATGATTACAATACACAGCAGCCAGTAACACTTTCCTTTGGCAGTATGGAGGGGAGACCCTGATTGGTGGGACGTAGCACAGATAGAGATCATTCTTTCGACCCTGATTGGTGGGACGTAGCACAGATAGAGATCATTCTTTCGACCCTGATTGGTGGGACGTAGCACAGATAGAGATCATTCTTTCCTCAGATGCATATATATATATAAATGTCCTGTTGTAAAATGTCAAATTCATTTTGAGCTTTGCAGTTCACCTGAAGATTCCGGGAAAGAGATTTTGTTTTAGAACAACTGAGGCACGGCAGAAATAAAAGGCATATTATTGTTTCACAGCTTCCTATACGAGGAAAGAAGAGGTCAGAGAACCACCAAAGGAGGAAGATTTGGAGAAGACAACCGATGTGCAGCTGACGGAGACCGAGACAATATGGCTGCTGGACGTGCCCCTAGCTGTGATCGCCGCCGATTCCGAGGAAGCTGAAACAGTCAAGTAAAATAATTTTTCAATTCATCTCTAATACAGCGCTTCTGAAATCACATTACACTCTCAAATCTTTTTTTTTTCAATAATGATTCCAGACCACACCAATATGCATTGCCGAGCAAAGTATTTCTTTACATTTTTGCCCAAGCTGTTTTTCCCCAAGCTGTCTTCTAGCAGGTCCCGGGCCAAGGAATAACAACTTGGCGGAGCCGGCCGTGAGTATACGGCCGGCTCTGCTAAGTTGTCATTGTGTAATGACAATTCAGCGTCCTCAGGTGATCTGGGGACGCTGATCTGTCATTGCAACTGGCCGGAGCCAGCCTTGAGATCACGTCTGGCTCCACCCAGCTGTCAGTTGCGAGCCTTTCAGCCGGCCAATCGTTCGGGCCGTTTTTGCCCAAGCTGTCTTCTAGCAGGTCCCGGGACAAGGAATAACAACTTGGCGGAGCCAGCCGTGAGATCACGGCCGGCTCCGCCAAATTGTCATTGTGTAATGACAGTTCAGCGTCCCCAGGTGACCCGGGGACGCTGATCTGTCACTGCAACTGGCCGGAGCCATCCGTGAGATCACATCTGGCTCCGCCCAGCTGTCAGTTGCAAGGCTTTCAGCCGGCCAATCGGCCCGCTTCGGGTTTTACTTCGGCTCAACCGAGCCGAAGCATATGCCTTCGGCTCCACTGAGCCGCCCGGGCCAGCTTCGGGAGCTGTACGGGCCACTCAGGTGGCCGAAGCTAGCTCAAGAATCAGCCGGAGCTACGGCTGATCCTTCGACTAGCTTTGTGAATAACCCTCACAGACCCTCCGCTTTGACTGATGGCTCGCACAGTACAAGACACTACTATAAGTAAAATAATGCAATCCTGTGTTTAGTTCTTTTTCATTATTCAGACATCCAGTCCCATACAGTCGTAGTTGGTTCCCATACCCCCTGTTTATTCCCAGTTAAGAACCTCTGCTCTAATAAATCTGTATCTTCTGAGATTTTGAACAGGCCATTGAGCTACCATAGGTGACATTTCTTTGTACTTCTTTAGTGTACGGAACCAGACTTACACAGAGCTCTGCAAGAGCAGAGCGGGCAACGATCGCTACGTAGAGAGGACCATGCAGACCTTTAATGGGGCTCCTAAGAGCAAAGAGGTTCAGTGCGAGAGCATCATCCACCAAGATGCTGGTAAGGAGCTGTTTGTAGCAGACTTACTACAATGAACTACAGGTGAAACTCGAATAATTAGAATATCGTGCAAAAGTAATTGCAGTAAGTGCTGCAAAAGGGGCCCAAACCAAGTACTGAGTACATATGCATGCTTGTACTTTTCAGAGGTCCGATATTGTTCTATGTACAATCCTTGTTTTATTGATTGCATGTAATAATCTACTTTTTTAAGGTTTTGGATTTGGGGTTCTTGGGGTTTTCATGAGCTGTAAGCCATAATCATCACAATTATGACAAATCACGGCTTGAACTATCTTGCTTTGCATGTAATGAGTCTATCTCATATATTAGTTTCACCTTTTAAGTTGCATTAGTGAAATAAATGAACTTTGCACGATATTCTAATTATTCGAGTTTCATCTGTAGATGGAATTCCTGTACATTGCATTCTTAGTTCATATTCTGAAAAGGAATGTAACTTCCTTGTAGATATACAGTATATGTAAATGTCGTGGCTTATAATCCTCCCTGCAAAGGACATGAAGAGAAACCACCACTTGAAGAATATTTTAGAATTTTAAATTTTACAAAATAACAACAAAGACACCTTTGAGAAATGTTTAGTGATGACAATCTACAAACACACATACTTCTAGATAATTGCCGGCTTTGTATTCTTTACATACCTTATTTCTCTTTCCCAGTCATCTGACAGTGGCCATGTTAACTAAGTGCAGATTTCTAGCTCTCCATTTACTTCCTGGAACTCTGGCACATGTGATTAGGACATGTGACCATGCACATCATCTTAGGGGAGGAAAATGCCTTTCCCTGAGATCTTGTGAGATTACAGATGAGATTTCCCAGCAATGCTCTGCTGATGTAACCTTCCCAGGATGCAACGCTTGGGCACATTACATCACTTGTGCCAGAACGGAACCAGGAAGTAGATGAACTCTATTTGTAAGTAAATGAAAAGCAAGTTTGTTTAACTAATGAACGTAAGATTGTCTTAAATCGGCATGCATATGTAAAATATCATCCTTCCTGCAAAGGAGATAAAGAGAAACCACCACTTAAAGAATATTCAGAATTTGACATTTCTGGAATTGTTGGATTTCTGGTCCCCCGCTGCACCTCGTGGTTCAATCTCCCAGCCCCTATACCAGTACTGTGTCCTATAGTGATGTAGGGGCCAGCGGAAGAAAACACATAGTGCAGCAGGGGACCAGAAATTCAACATTTCCAGAAGTGCTGGATTCTGAGGATTCTTTGGGCAGTGGTTTCTCTTCAATACGTCGGAGATCTGCAGGGCAGACAGCTAGAGAGTATTACCCATCTTCTTTGCAGGGAGGACGTTATTTCATGTATTTGTTTTAGTGACCGAGTCCCTTTAAAGTCCTCTGCTTTTTTCCATGCAGGGCAAAGCAGTAGTTTCACTTTAGTGTCGTTCCCTGCAGCTGCCTTTTTTTTTACCTTACCTTCGCTCCAGTGCATTCCATTCACCTGGGGAAATCAGGTCTGGAGGCAATAGCTGGATGATGTAAGCCACACATGGAAAACATTCAGGGGCTTATTTATAAAACGTTCCCCCCAGCGTATAGCTGAGCAAACATCATTCGCAGCGCATTACTGCCACTAGATGGGGATGTGGAACTCTTGCTTTCCCAAAGCAGGGCTAAATGTAGAAAGCAACTTACCGCCCGGCGCCCGGAACTGCATGTTTTTCGGGGGTCGGGGGATTCCACAGACGCTGCCGCCCCTCTGCGCCCTGCCGCCCCGAGGCCGGGCCTCGGTGGCTTTGTGGTCAATTCGGGCATGCTTGTCACCATATTCCAGCGCTTTGGCTAAGCACATGGGAGAAAAGAGACTTGCATACACCCAGTAGTACCAGATATGTCACTTTGTAAACTCATATAGAACAATGGCCGATGGAACAACAAGGCAGTGAAGGAAGGTAAATGTAAGCAGCTGCGGAGGTTGGTACTAATGTGAATCTGTTTCTTCTCCCTGGGCAAACTCAGGTTGACTTCAATGGTACAATGCAGCCGAGGCTAAAAAAAACTACAACTAGTATGTGACTTTATTGTATCAGTTAGGAAAATCTTTCCTGAGAAAAGAATGGGCTCAGCTGTTGCTGATCTCTAGTTGCTGATATCCCTCACCTCTATCTTTGGTGTTATTTGAGTCCTAGGCCAAGAATAAATATGCAAATCAAGAAAGTTGGTGAAAAGTCAGACGTTGTGCTTTCGTAACATAAAAAAAAAGTTACATATAGTGATACTTGTTTTATATTTTTAGGTGTCATGGCGTCAGTATGGGACTTGTACGATTCATTTAATGCACCGGAACAGCCACAGGTGGAAGCCGTGGTGGAAACGGTCAGGCGGCCAGAGAGTGTGGCCAGCAACAAATCCAGCATGAGCCAAAGAAATTTATCCGTGGTGTCTATGGATGTGACAGGTATGTTGTTTCCAATTCAAGGTGAAATGACCTCTGCGATGACCTGTTACCACAAGGCTCCTCCTCCTATATATTAAAAATGTTGTCAGTGTGGGGATTAATAGTTTGTGTGTGATTTTATCCAGAGCATGAGCAAAAAGACAAACCTATTGATCAGGTCCAGGATTGATGTTCTGGCGTTGCTTTAAAGGAGAACTATGGGGTTAAGGCTTTTCCCCATAGTTCTCCTTTAAGAGAACTATGAGGTAACCTTTTTATCCCATAAGTCTCTTTAGGGTCACAGGAGGACATATACTGAGACGCTGCAGTATACCGCGAGCTGCTGCTCGCAGTATACTGAGATGCCACAGCTGAAGCGGATCCCAACAATTGTGCCGGGATCCACCCAGCTGCATGACTGACAGCTGGCTCTGCCTATCTAGAGGCAGAGCCAGCTGTACCCGCCCCCTCCCCCGTCCGTTCCGCCAGTCAGCGCTGGCAGGGAGGGGGGAATTCAGCCCCTCCCCTGTCACGGCAGAGAGCTGTGACAGGATCGAGAGGTGAGCGAACGCCAGAATGTGTTCTCTCATCTCCCGATCTACTGAGCCGACCTGTGACAGTCTCATTGTCACAGGTCGGCTAGAACTATGAGGTGAGTGAAAAGCACTCACCTCATAGTTCTCCTTTAAAGTTCACTAATGAGGGCAGATGTGCCCAGCAGATGACAAAGTGATCACAGCTGATTGTTACGATTGATTTTTGTGAATCTTAGATTTTGTGTAAAGCTGACCATACACCTTACAATTATCTGCAGATTTTCTATGGTCAGATAGAAAAGGTGCAACAGATTCCTCCATCTACGCTAAAGTGTGTGGATGGAGTAATCTCCACTTGGGCCAAGCTTCCGTAATCTTGCTAGTCGGCCCCGCTGGCTATCAAGACAAAGTAAATTGTGGTGTACAGATCCTGAGTATTGGGGTGAAGTAGTAACAATAAAAAAAGAGAGCAGTTCGGGCTTTTTAGGCACCAAATGACAAGTCCAAAAAAAATAGAAAGATTGTATATATCGTAAAATATATGATTTAGTTATACAAAAGATTAAAAAGTAAATATATTTAAAAATGCACAAGATACGTGAAAATTGAAGACGACCTCCTAACACTCATCAATTTCCCAAAATAGAGGTTATAATGAACGTGATCGCAAGATCCAATAACATGATTAAAGTTTAGTCAATACGATAGGATAATGCCATTAATGGTATAGATAATTTATAGTTAAAAAAAAGTACAGTCCATTATACAATATTGCACATAACCTCAAATGGAACCATATAGATGGGTAATAATGCGATGATCGCAATGCTCTACGCGTTTAGCGCCACACAACGCTTCTTCAGGAGGAGGAGGTGGTCCCCTCAGTGCGAGATCATCAAATGCATAAACCGAAAATTAGGGCGAGTCAGGGAGACAAACAGTCCCAGGGTGGTGGAGAATAAAGGGCCAGTCAGGAGCTGCTCATAAGAAGAATTGTTGGAAAGATAATTGAGGAATAATCCTCATGCCCAAGGTAGGTCCATCAATCGAAAGACACGAGGGGAGAGAGTCTATTAGTGCAGTGAAACCTCCTAATAAAGCCTGCTGGTGAACTCCAGCACCCAACGCCGCCGGTACGTGTGGGGCCGTGTCCACACACTGCAGTGTGTGGCACTTTTTCCATCTGACCCTAGAAAATCTGCAGATAATTGTAAGGTATATGACCAGCTTAATTATAGCCTGCCATTTAACTTTCCGGTGACATAGACTTTTTTTAATTTTTCAGATATGTTCTCAAGTACCGTCACAGATTTGGACAAGTTGTCTGTTTCTTGGGTAACTGACGAGGCTGAACCAGATCCAGATGTCATTTTAACATCAGAGAAGTTTCAGCAAGATTTGTTCATCATGGAGAGAGTGGTGGTGGAGAACATATACCAGCCAAAGCTGGCAGCTTACCGGCAGTTGCCAGTAATCATAGGTGTGTTGACTGTGTCAGAATCTGTCATTCTACTCTCCTAAAGGTGCCCATACACCTTGCGATTATCGTGGGAAATCCCGCAATCGTAGATAATCGCAAGGTGTATGGAAGGCGTGCGACCTCTGCTACTGTACGGTCGCATTACTTTTGTCTTGCAAGCATGTTCGAAAACCCGCCGAGAATCGTACCATTGTTGGCGGGTTTATGGCATGCTCAATAGACAAATGCCGAACGGGACGGTGTGTGCAAGCGCACACTGCCCGTTCAGCATTGCAGTCATCGGAAGCCCGCCCCTCAGGGGGGCTGGCTTGCGATGATCGCAAGTACGATCTGCCTGTCCAAGATGGGCAGATTATACGTTTTGTTAATTACCTTACAACCATCGCAAGACAAAAGTCTTGCGATGGTTATAAGGTCTATGGCCAGCTTAAGATGTTTCCCAAAGATACCAATCACTGCAACAGCTGAACTCCGGCCTTTTCCTTCAGTCTGTACCGGCTCCTCTCCTGGACTGAAATGGCTTCCTCCTGATATCACTGCACACTCTGAGCTTCTCACAATGTGCATTAGAAGCTGCAGCAAGTAAGACAGAGCTCCGCCTCATTTCCTGGTTGCAGGATGTCCAACATCATCTTGCTCTCTTTTCCCCAGGTGGCTGTCCCTGGCCTGTGCCTTTTTTTTTATTCATTGGATTTCAGTTTTTGAATCATGGAGGCTCAGCATCACACGTGGACATTTGTTTACAAGATCACAGATTAAACGTCCACATCAGGACAGAAGATTTTAGTAGAGTGAGGAAGCTTTAGAACCTCTGTCACTTCCTGTAATTACTGATCATTCACACGGCTGGCCATAGAGTGGAAAAAATGTGCTGTTGATCCGTGTTTTTCAGCTCCCTGGCTGCCCTGTGACATGTTTCTATTGCAGCTGGACAGCGCTGTGCCCATTGCGGTAACTGTGATGCCACCTGCAAAACGCAACCATTGATGTGAATGGGACCTCACCGCAACTGCATGGCAAACCCTTGGCATGTGGTTGTGGCACAATAGTTCCATGTAAAGCCCCCCCTTAGGCTAGGTTCACTCCTAGGCGAACCCTGTCCACGCGGCAATCCGCGCGGTTTTGTGCACGATTGCTGCACGGTCGGGAGTCGCCAAGGTGTGAACCGATCGCGCTGTGGGTGCCATTTTGTTTCTAATGGCACCCCAGTCGCGCTGGCGGATCGCGTGGTTTCAGTGCATTGTGTGCCTTGTACCTTTTTTTTAGCGATTGCTGCGTGAATGTCACTCCATTGAAATCAATGGGGACGCGCGACAATCTCTCTGTGCATCCACGCGTCCCGGGTGTCGTGCAGTGTAGTGCAGGTGTGAGCCTAGCCTCAGGATAAAAAAATTAAAAAAGCATTCAGAAGGTGGCAGCATTGCCTCCTGAATGTCTGGAAACCGCTGCTCTACCACCCTCTGAGAAGACGTCCTCCATGGTGAACCACTTTTCAGAGGAGGGTGAAGTCCACTGTTCGTGTGAATGACCCCTCAAAATGTCCCCAACAGGGAGATAAAAAACAATAAAGATGTAACTGAGGTTCCTCACTTAGCAAAGCTTAAAAAAAGTTTTAGGTAGACTATATGAAGGAAACGGGTTGGGTAGCAGTCCACAACCAGGAGCTACATGTTCAAGTGACCACACTGCCATTGTATACCGGCCATGGAAAGGCGACATTACGTCCTGATTACCAGATGTTCCGGGGGCCAGAGTTGTTAAAGGAGAACTATGGGGTTAAGGCTTTTCCCCATAGTTCTCCTTAGGGTAACGGGAGGACACAAACTAGCGTCCTCCCGTCACCCTAGGCTCAGTATGCGGTATACTGAGACGCCGCAGTATACCGCGAGCTGCTGCTCGCGGTATACTGAGACAGCGCAGCTGAAGCGGATCCCGACAAATATGCCGGGATCCGCCCAGCTGCGTGACTGACAGCTGGCTCTGCCTATCTAGAGGCAGAGCCAGCTGTACCCGCCCCCTCCCCCGTCCGTTCCGCCAGTCAGCGCTGGCGGATCGAGGAGGGGGGAATCCAGCCCTTCCCCTGTCACGGCAGAGAGCCGTGACAGGATCGAGAGGTGAGCGAACGCCGGTATGTGTTCCCTCACCTCCCGATCTACTGAGCCGACCTGTGACAGTCTCATTGTCACAGGTCGGCTAGAACTATGAGGTGAGTGAAAAACACTCACCTCATAGTTCTCCTTTTAAACATTTGTGGCAGAAGATGGAGGACTATAAAGGTAATCACTTGCCATACGTTATACTGCAGGAGAAAGGTGAGACTTTTTTTTATTTACATACACTTTAAGGTAATATATCAAGCCCAGACTGTCAAACTAATCACCTGTTTCGCCATTTGGAAAGGGATTATTTCATGTAGACTTGCCTTTCTGTTGCAGCCAATATTCTAATCAATGAAAAGTGCCATGTATTTTACAGATCCGGACTCTACCAGTGACACAGAGGTCATAGCCAAGGTGACATCTCCCAGTTTAGATCGACTGTGGTCCTTTGTGTGTGACACAACGAAGGGACACAACGTCAGCAGCACATCGTGGAATAAGAAAAACCCGGTTAGTAGAACCAACCCTATGCTGATGTCCTTGATGTGTGATACATTCTGACTCTTCTATGTTTACGCCTTGTTCCTCCATTTATCTATTTTATTCATTTCTCAGGATCTCCTGGCCGTCGGCTATGGGCAGTTTGGCTTCAAAGAACAAAAGGGGGGTCTGGCTTGTTGCTGGTCACTGAAGAACACAACAGTAAGAAACAAATGATTAGATCTGATTGTTTATTCCAGATGAGGGCAATCCGTTCCTTTATACCAGGGGTAGCCAAACTGCGGCCCTCCAACTGTGCTGGAACTACAAATCCCATAAGGCACTGCAAGATGCTTACAGCCACAGACATGACCCCCGCAGACAGATGCATCCTGGGATTTGTAGTTTCACCACAGCTGGAGTGCTGGCGTTTGGCTATCCCTGCTTTATACCGTCTCCTGCTACCTGTGTATGAGGAGCACTGTAACCTTTCGAGTTCCTGGCTGCATCGGCCCATCCGCAGAGAATACGGAACTCAAGTCATTGCCTGCAGTTAATGGGAATGTGTGGTGGTTTTGCATATATTTTCTTTCTTTTAATTATTACGTTATGTTGCATAAAAAACTAATTTTCAACCAGTGGATGGAGCGCTGAGATTTTTTCACATGTTTACGTGTCCGTTCTTCACTATTTGCTAAAATAGGCCTGTTCTTAACAGACCCCAATAGCTCAAGCTAAAATGTACACGTGTAAGTCATGGCGGTGGTACAGTTGTCAAAAACACTCCTGATATGTGATTGGGCATACGTTTAACAATACATTAACATGGGGATGGTGTATGAGTGCATCATGAAGTCAGTTGATGGGTTGTATCAGTTTTAAGAGGCAGTTTAGCTGAGAAAAATTGAAAAAAGCCAAAGCATACCAGATGGTATAGAACAGTGGTTCTCAACCTGGGGGTCGGGACCCCTTTGGGGGTCGAATGACGATTTGCCAGGGGTCGCCTAGCGGCTTCCGGCCACCCAGGAGAGAAGCGCTTTCTCTGATCTTTTTTTTTCAGTCAGAAAAGAAAAAAGACTTTCTCATCGAGCAGACTAAACCTTTCCAGGATAAAGTTTTTTTTTTTCTCGACAGGGTTAAAAGTAAACCTGCCGCTCCATGTGCACAGTAAGAGGGGATAGCAGTCTTCCCCTCTCACCTGTCACAGAAGTTCCAGCACAGTGCTGTGCTAGGACTCCTGTATTGGAGGTGACAGGGTCAATAAAGAGAACCTGTCACCTCCAATTGCTATTACAGAGGAGCTTGTTACCTCTGTGTGATAGCAATGAAATTAAGTGGAAAAAAAATAGATTAAAAAATTATTAAGGAAATAAAAATAAAAAAAAGCGCTTAAAAAGAAATAAGAAACAAATTATTAAAAAATAAGAAAATTATAAAAAATAAACAATAATAAGGTGAGAATCCTCCTCAGCCCTCTCCTAGCGCAGCAGTGTCAGTTCTCCCGGCACGCCGCCAGATGTCGCTGCATCCCTAAATTCTACCGTTGGGGGTCACCACAACTTGGCAAATGTTACCAAGGGGTCCCGGCCCTAGAAAGGTTGAGAACCACTGGTATAGAACATCATCATTTGTAGTAAGATAAATTCAAGTAAACAAATATAAAAGAATGACATTGTAGCTACAAATGCCCACCTGGGTCAGGCACATCACAGTATGATAAATGGAGGCAGTTGCATCCTAAATGTCAAATAAACACTCCACTCTAGGATCTCCTAGCCAGAGGAGGAGAGTACTATAGACGACAACAATAAGTATATGATCTGTAAGGATGACCCACTATTGGGTGTATCGGGAAGGTCTCCTGCCACTATTGCCACATTTTGGAGTCCCTACCCCATCCTCAGCTGAACACTGTCATGTGTGGTGTGTGTTTTCTTTTTTTGGGGGGGGGGCGTATGACATCATCCACCTAGGAAAGCTCTAGTATTATCCAACTGCAGCAAGAAGATGGCAAAGGACCAAATGTGTGTGTGTGTGTGTGTGTGTGTATACCTTGTTGGGTTGTGACGGGCACTATCCTTTTTCCCTAAAGAGGGAGGTGACAGTATCCCTTAAAGTGCGTTATTGTTGTCACATGTTCTTATTACTACTTGATGGGTTTTTGTTTTTTTAAGTGGCCAGAGAGGATATTCCACTGTGAAAGTGGGGTCACAGCCGTGGACTTTTCAGCAACCCGTCCAAATCTTCTGGCTGTTGGGATGTATGATGGCACGGTGGCAATTTACGATGTACAGAAGAATGATGATGTCCCAGTACTAGGCAGCAGGTATGGCCAAATGTCTGTATATTAAAGGGGACTGTGGACCTTTTTATTCATTTTAATATACACGAGAAGAAAATAAAAAAAAAGAGCTTAGCATGGAACTCCAAGTGCCTCCCCAGTTCTGCTTTAATGCAAATAAATGTTAATATTTAATGTTTTGAAAATGTTACTATGTATGTAGAATATGTAATAATATAGGTATATGAGATGTCAGTCTGCTTACTGGTGGTGCCTTGTTGACCTTCTTATGTCAATATAAGTCTACTAGATGGGGCTTGTGGGAAAACCACTGGAATCTCCCGGACCTAGACAAACCACGTGTCGCTCTTGGGTAAACACCTTCAAGAACTTTTAGTGGCTGTGCCGACCAAGGCCGATATTACAGCCTTTCCTTCTAGACCAGACATGAATTCCCTGGTGGACAGGATTGAGGGGGCTCTCACAAATAAACTGAGGTGGTACACCAGAAAGATTGCTTTAGAGCCTAGGATCACAGAGGTAGAGGCTGTTTGCTGGGCGTCCAGCTTTATCCTGCAGTAAAACTATAATGAACCATCATATAGGTAAAATGCATGTTATGGAGATGGTCTTCCTGACATCCAGCAGTGTGTTACACATGAGTAATGTCTTCCTTTGGGATGATGGGTGTTTATGAGACTTTGTACTGTTGCTTTATGTAAAAGTACTTTGTATTTATGCTTTATGTCTCTTCCATTACCTTCCATCAGTGATAACCTCCATAAACACACATGTCCGGTGTGGCAGTTAAAGTGGATCGAGCAGGATCACAACAGCCAGGGGGAGGATAATGGAGAGATTCTGGTGTCCATATGTGGCGATGGCAGGATAACAAGATGGCAGATCAGGAAAGGGCTGGAGTGTCGCGGTAAAGGGAATTATTATATCTTAAATGGAACTCCAACATTATTTTTAAAGCTCTTCCTTTTATCTTCGAAATATTTCCCTTTTAGATGTATGCAGCAATCCTTAGAAAGTCTTCTTCCTAGAGTATTACCTCTAATGTACTTGAGGCTGCGTGACATTAAATGTTGCACAACCATTTCCTGTCCTGGATGGCTGACAAATTCAGTCCACCCTGTCAAATTCACCCCCCCCCCCCACAACCTGGGTGGTTCCAGAGACTACAAGGGTGATGTTAGTACATGACTAATGCTGGCCATACACCCATATGTTGACCTTTGGAATGTTAGTTTGATTTTCTTATAGTTAACAGGTGAAATTGATGATTGTTTTCGACCGCAGTCATGAAAACAATCAAAGGAGCCAGAGAGAAAATTTTGCTCTAATGAAATTCTAACAGTGATTGTGGTTTTCATTCAAAAAACTCCATTCATTCAAAAATCAAACGTTGGTGTTATCGAGTGTTCTGATGAGATTTTTCATTTGAAAGTTTGTAGAAAAATCTACCCGTGGCCAGCTTAATGCAATTAACGGGCATTACTGGTGGCCGAGTCATTTTCTTTAATGCTTGCCTAATGAATTGATGGCATTGCTGCCCCCCCCCCCCACCCTTGGGAACACCCCA